CGTAGACAGAACTTGCAAAAAATATTTAAATATTTGCTACAGGACATTTCAGTAATTCCCTTAAATGAACACCCAATCCTCACCAAACATTTCTCAAGCTATACAATTACTCCCCGATTTTGCTGTCTGTAGCTTTAAGCAGGTGAGTCTGCTCTGACTTTTTACTGGCATCTGCCGAAATGAGTCATCAGCTGCTTTTCTCCAACAAACAACAAAACACCCCTGAGGTTGCTATGCAATCGATTTCACACACTGGCTGCAGAGCCCGCACATTACTCTTTAGGTGCCAACATTATGGTCCCTGCTGCACGAGCCAAGGAAAATGAATCCCCTTCATGAAGTTTACCACGGAGACCAAGAACTTAAACTTTATTGTTTTAAATTGAAGATGGCAGGAGTGACAGTGTTGAGGTGCAGTAAGAAAACATTTAGTTTTGGAAGAAAGTAATTTGAAGAAAAGGACAAGTTTTTGGAAAAGAGGATTATGAAAGCTCAGGAAGTATGGAGCTGGTCCTGGAATGAGGACAGAGATGGGAAAGGCAGCCACAAAAACAAATGAAATAATAACAAACCCCCAAAATTTGAAAAAGGGGAAAATAGGGTGAGGTGTGAGTAGAACTCTGTGGTAGGGCAAAAGGGCCTAGGAGGACGACAAAAGTGAAACCAGAGATAATCTCAGAAGGAGACCCAAAACCGAAATAGTTCAAAAACTGGCAGAGGTGAAAGCATAAGGCAAGGGTCTTCATGCTTGACAAAAGGGGCAGAGAGTAGCTGCTTACTTCTACATAAGAGTCGTGGGAATATGGGATGCACAAAATGACAGTAGATGCTCTTTGAATCTGAAGGCATCAGAGAAGGACTGTGGAGTTGCAAGATCAACCCTATGCCACATATAACCTTATTTTTATATAATAAAGCTACTATCTCAAAAATACTTGTGTACAATTTACAAAGATTTTGTTATGCTCCAAATGACAAATAAGGTTTGAGGGTAGGCAAAGGTTTAGTTTGTTAGCACTAGGACACAGAAAATCATAGCTCAAACAGATGCCAATCTGAAATAAATATGTTAAAGTATGCTCCAATTCCTGTTTAAACGCACGTTTTCTCTTCCTAAATACACTATCCCTTTTGGGATCTCCTATCAAAGGGTCTTTAAAAGTTCTCCAGTAAATCCTGGAAAGTGCCTTGGAGAAACAGTATATACAGTAGTGACATTTTCCTCTTCCCAAAACATACTTCAGTCTCACCAGATCAATCTTTCTTCTTCCCCTCCCCTCTCTGGCCAGCTCCTCTGCAGCTCGTGCTTTCCCTCTCTGCATAAGCCTTGTTATTTCAGTTTTCACAGGCCTTTGCTTAGATTTTTCAGACTCATTCTGTCACTTCCACTCTCTGTATGCCGCCTAGTTTGTGCACGAGTTTAGTAATCCAGTGCACAAGGCTTCACACGTATTTAGAAGTCTGCTATTTCTCCATCTCTTTTTCTGTTAAAACCCCCATTATCTATCGGCAAAATCTTAGCGACAATCTATGCTCAAACTTTCCTTTCCACACACATAACTACATCCCCAGCCAATAGCTACAGTGTAGATAAAATATGAAAGATTACAAGCATTTTAATCACTACACTATCTATGCCTAAAACTGTAAAGTCAGTAAACGCCTGATATATTCTCACACTTCTTCTGAGAGAAATGAAACCATCTTGTCCATCCGTCTGTCCAACCTGCCCCATTATGTTCCTCAGGAACTTTAGAATCCATTACCTACAGTTCTGCCAAATTTACCAGGGGAATACACTCATGAGCTTTACAAAAACAAGTGGCCAGATGGAGGACAAACAGCCCCAAGAAGCCAAGGACAACTTGGTATATATCCTCAATCTTTACCAGCAGCTGCTGGCCATTTGGCAAATGGGAACACCTGGTTCAGCTGACTTCAGACGTAAGGACAGGGCAGATTGGGACACAGGTGGCACCTGGGTGCCATTCCCAGGGAGAGGGAGGCTAGCGGGGGAATGATGGCAGGGGGCAGGCAGGAGTTACTATGGGAGAAGGTGGCAAACAAGTCCCCAGGAAAACAGGCTTCCTTAATTCTCCTCACAGAACTATTTTCCTTCAAGCACCGTTTCCTATGGAAACAAAGTTTATATAATCACACTTTGCACTGGTAAGTCTTTGGATCCATTGGCTAATTTCAACTACATCTGAGAGATCAGTAGATATTTTAAAAACAGAGTTCATGTGTTTATTGGAAATTGGCAGCAGGTGAGCGCAAGGGGAAAGGCTGCAGTGTTAGCTCCACCTGGGCAACCAGCATGCACACAGCTGGTACGTGGAGGGAGCTGGAAACACCATATGAGAAGGAATTAAAAGTACTATAAAGTTGACTGCTATGGGACATGAGCAGGAGCCAAGGGTACCAAAGAATAGGGTGCTGGGACCTGGTCAGAAAAAAACCCAAACCACACCAGTTTCACTACTAAGGGAACATCTCCCCTTTGTCCCCATCCCAGCTACTGAAATTGCACCTGACCATTGTGAGCAGATACACATCACCACTAACAGGAGCTGGAAGTGTTTCAGGGAGCCTTGTTTAACTTGGAAATGAAGCCAAAGCAGCAAGAAAATTCTGTAGTCTTCCTTCTCAACTTGATGTTATTATGTTTATTTAGTTCATACCCAGGATGGACACCAAATACTCAACAGGGTCTGTATATCCATCTGACATTTAGCAACAAGAAGCCTGTCTTTGCTCTAAGATAGCATTAACCAATTTTCCCCGCTCCCAAGAAGAAAGGCAGCGGACAACAAAGCAGGGGAGAAGAGATTTTGGTATCAGAACTGAGCTGCCAACTTTGTTAACGTGCAAGGAAACAAAATCCACCTCACCCTCCTGAGATTTTTGTACTGCAAATAGAGACAAATCTTGTTGCAACTAAGTAGGTCAGACTTAAGGACCTAAGGGGTGCATGGAGTTATTTTCAAATTAAAATAAGACCACAGTATTAATACCCTCTTCTGTAATAAGTACTAGGTGGGATCTATTCACATCGATTTCACTGCCGAGATGGGAATCTACTTTTTACAGTTCTCTCTTTGCTCAGACCCTAAAGTGTGTACGTATATTGTAGGACCAGGGCCTCAGTGAGCATAAACCAAAGCAGCTGTACTACTTATACACATCTGTATCCAGAATGGATCTCAAGACAGATGTCCTGTAAAAACAGTTAAACCCATGGGCTTTGACAATTACAGTCAGCATTTCTGCTCAACAATACACAATCTTATTTTTGCCAGCCGGACAATGACCTTAGCCAAGCTGCAAGCAGTCTGTGAGCGAGCCCATTGTGCAGGCGGCTATTCACAAGCAGGAGTACACGGTTAGGAAGGCAGCCGGCTCCACAGCTGTGCGGGGCTCTTTTCCCATCCGAAAGCAAGGACCCAAAAGAGGAAGTAAAGGCAAGAGGGCACCGAAACATTCACACCTGCCACAGCAGTGTCCGTGAAGTCCTTAACTGCCCACAGACGAAACGGGGGGGTATTTTGGGAACCTGACCTTCCACAAATGGAAACCCGGGGAGGTATTTCCAGCCGGGCAGCTCTGCTCGGACCCAACATGCCCTACGTGCTGGAGGACCCGGACCCCCCCCCCCCCCCCCGCGGCATTTCGGCGCGCTGCTGTACCACCGGCCGCGGACACCCGCGGCAGCGCAGGCCGGAGCGGCACAGCCGGACCCGCGGGAGCCCCCTCCCTCCTTCCTCCTCCTCCTCCTCCCGCGGGGCAGGTCGAAGGGAGGCCGCCGTTCCCTCCCCCCCCCCCCGCCCCGCCCCGCCCCC